AGGTTCAAGCGAGTCTCCTGCCTCAGCCTCCTGAGTAGCTGGGATTACAGGCCTGTGCCACTGCACCCGGCTAATTTTTGTATTTTTAGAAGAGATGGGGTTTCACCATGTTGATCAGGCTGGTCTCAAACTCCTGACCTCGTAATCTGCCCTCCTCGGCCTCCCAAAGTGCTGGGATTACAGGTGTGAGCTACTGCGCCAGGTCTGTATTTTTAGCAGAGATCATGCCTCAAAGAAACGAAAAGAAAGAAAAACAAACAAACAAAAAAAACCCCAAAACCCCAAGCCTTATGGGATCCAAAACATCTTCCAGTAACTGCCTTTCAGAACAAAAACTCCACACTTTTCAAAGGAAGACAGCATCATCTAAGGGCCATACTAGGCGCCATCCATAATGATCAACATTCAGCTAAAAAACACAAAACCTGCAAATGAACAGAAAAATGTGTCCTAAACTAAAGCCAAAAAACAAGCAGCCAATAGAAACAGACCTCAAGGTAACCCAGATGTTGAAATTGAGAGCCAAGAACTTTAAAACAGCTATTACAAATATGTTCAGCAACTTACAGGAAAAGATGCACAGTGAGCGAGAGATGGAAAATCTCAGCAGAGATGCAGAAACTATACAAAGAATCAGAGGTCAAGTCATCTACCCACCTTGGCCTTCCAAAGTGCTGGGATTACAGGCATGAGCCACTGTGCCCAGAGTTCAAGACCAGCCTGGCCAACAGGCGAACCCCTGTCTCTGCTAAAAATACAAAAATTAGTCATGGTGGTGCATGCCTGTAGTCCCAGTCACTCAAGAGGCTGAGGCAGGAGAACTGCTTGAGCCTGGGAGGCAGAGGTTGCAGTGAGCCGAGATCACGCCAGTGCACTCCAGCCTGGTTGATAGAGCCAAGACCCTGTCTCTTTTCTTTCTTTCTTCTTATTTTTTTAAATTTTCAGCCACATATCCTTTCACAGACGTTGTCTCAAAAAAAGAAAAATAAATGAAAATAAAAATAAAAAGAATCAGAGGGAGGGCTGGGTACGGTGGCTCTTGCCTCTAATCCCAGGACTTTGGGAGGCCAAGGCAGGCATGTCACTTGAAGTCTGGAGTTTGAGACTAGCCTGGCTCACATGGTGAAACCTTGTCTCTACAAAAAATACAAAAATTAGCTGGGTGTGGTAGCACAAGCCTGTGGTCCCAGCTACTCGAGAGGCTGAGGCTGGAGAACTGCTGGCCCTGGGAGGCAGAGGTTGCAGTGAGCCAAGTTCACACCAACCTGGTGACAGAGCGAGAATCTGTCTAAAAAAAAAAAAAATCAGAGAGAAATTCTAGACCTTACACAAACTCTCTTAGAAAGTAGAAGTGGAAGAAACACTTCCGAAGTCATTTCACAAGGCAGCATAACCCTGCTATCAAAACCTGACATTACAAGAAAAGAAAATTACAGACCAATATCCCTTATGAACACAGATGGAAAAGCCCTTAATAAAATACTGGAAAATCAAAATAGTAATATATGAAAAGGTTAATACATCATAAGCAAATGAGACTTAGACCAGGAAAGCGAGATTTGTTTTAACATTCAAAAAGCAGTGAATATCCTTTAGCACATAACACGATAAAGGAAAAAAGTCATAGGATTATCTCGGTAGATGCAGAAAAAAACTTTAAAACCATCTTTATTCAAAACAACACCATATGTGTAAAAAAAAAAAAAAGCCCTTAGAAATAAACAACTTCTACAACAAATATGTGAATTTAGCTATTTTGAAAAATAAAAGGTCAATATAGAAAAATTTAAATTATATTTTTATATACTGGTGCAAAATGAAATTTTAAGATTCTGCTCAACATGGCATAAAACATATAAAATGCATAGGAATAACTTTAGCAAAAGATGTGCAAGACTTTTTTTTTTTTCTTTTGAGACAGAGTCTCACTCTGTCACCAGGCTGGAGTGCAGTGGCACAATCTTGGCTCACTTTGTCTGCCTCCTGGGCTCAAGCAGTTCTCCTGCCTCGGCCTCTGGAGTAGCTGGGATTACAGGTGCATGCCACCATGTCCAGCTAATTTTTGTATTTTTAGTAGAGACAGGGTTTCACCATGTTGGCCAGGCTGGTCTTAATCCTGACAGGTGATCCACCTGCCTCGGCCTCCCAAAGTACTGAGATTATAGCTGTGAGCCACTACACCTGGCTGAAAATCACTAACTTCAATCACTACCTCATACCATACACAAATTCAAAATAGATTATGAATCTAAATATCAAAGCTAAAACTATAAAGCATTAGGAAGGAAATGTAGGAGGATAGTTTTGCAACCTTGAAAGAGGCAAAGATCCCTTAGACAGGACACAGAAAGTAATAATCGTAAAAATGTGACAAATTATACTGAATCAAATTTAAAACTTCTGCTTACCAGAAAACATCATTAGGTAAATGAAAAGGCAACCCACAGACCTGGAGATAAAATTTACTCTCTCTCTCCCTCTCTCTCTCTCTCTCTCTCTCTCTATATATATATATATATATAGTGTGTGTGTATATATATATATATGTACTGGAGATAATATTTACTATATATAGTACATATATATAGTATACCATACTATATACAGTCGTATATAGTATGCTTATATAATATACCATATATAATGTACTACTATATATAGTATTGTATATAGTAATATGTAATACATATGCTTTTTACTATATATCGTATACTATACATGTGATAAAGAAATAAAGAACTTCTAAAGGTCAATAATAAAAGTTGAACGTGCCAATAAAAATATGGGCAAAATACTAGAACAAACACTTTACAAAGGAAAATGTAAAATTAGGCAACGATATGGTTTGGATGTGTGTCCCCACCCAAATCTCGTGTGGAGCTGTGATCCCCAATGTTGGAGAAGTGGCGTGGTGGGAGGTGATTGGATCATGGGGCTGGGCTTCCCCTTGCAGTTCTTGTGATGTGAGTTCTCGCCAGCTCTGGTTGTTGAAAGGTGTGTAGCACCTCCCCTTCCTTCTCTTCCCCTTGCTCCAGCCACATAAGACATGCCTGCTTCCCCTTTGCCTTCCACCATGATTGACAGTTTCCTGAGGCCTCCCCAGCCATGCTACCTGGACAGCTTGTGGAATCATGAGCCAATTAAACTCCTTTTCTTTTCTTTCTTTTTTTTTTTTTTTTTTTGTGAGAGGGAGTCTTGTTCTGTTGCCCAGGCTGGAGTGAAATGGTGCAATCTCGGCTCACTGCTACCTCTACCTCTCAGGTTCAAGCAATTCTTCTGCCTCAGCCTTCCAAGTAGCTGGGATTACTGGCACGCACCACCACACCTGGCTAATTTTTGTATTTTTAGTAGAGACACGGTGTCACCACATTAGCCAGGATGCTCTTGATCTCCTGACCTTGTGATCTGTATGCCTTGGCCTCCCGAAGTGCTGGGATTACAGGCGTGAGCCGCCTTGCCTGGCCTCTTTTTTTTTTTTAAAGTACAATTTCCATTTTGTTTTTCTCCAGAGAATAGTTCGTCTTCAGTCTTTAAGGACTCAGCTCCTCACATGGGCTTTGGTGGGGGTCGTGGTGCAGCACCTGAAATTGAGGTGAGGGTGTTCAGTCCTTGCGGGCTTCACGAGATCGATTCATGACTGCCTTGCTGTGAATTGCAAAGTTCACACAGTAATGTAGCTTCACATACAGCTTGGGAAGCACATAGGCATCTAAGATACTTGCTTCAGAAATGTCCCTGACTGCTGCGGCCTCCGCTGTTTCCAATGACGAATTTCTTAAGGGCCTTGTCCTTGGGCACGCATCGGGCACAGTTCATGCAGTGAATAGGCTGCACGTGGCCGCGGCCCTTTTTGGCACGACCGTTGTTCCTTCTTTTCTTTGTCATCTTGGAGGCACAGACCGGAGAGCGGATAAACCCCTTTTCTGTATAGATTACCCAGTCTCAAGCACTTCTTTATAGCAGTGTGAGAACGAACTACTACATACCATAAACATGAAAAAATAGTCAACATCTTTAGTCATCACAGAATGCAAATGAAGTGGCATAATAAAATGCCATTTACATGAATGAGAATCGCTAAAATTAAAAAGATGAACCAGCCAGGTGCGGTTGCTCACGCCTGTAATCCCAGCACTGCGGGAGGCCGAGGCAGGCAGATCGCTTGAGGTCAGGAGTGTGAGACCAGCCTGGCCAACATGGTGAAATCCCCTGTCTACTAAAAATACAAAAATTAACTGTTCATAGTGGCAGGTGCTTGTAATCCCAGCTACTTCAGAGGCTGAGGTGTAGAATTGCTTGAATCCGGGAGGCAGAGGTTGTGGTGAGCTGAGATCGCACCGCTGCACTCCAGCCTGGGCAACAGAGAGAGGCTCTGTCTCAAAAAAAAAAAAAAAAAAAAGCATTGATGAGAATGTAGGGAAGCAGGTCCTCTGTCCCACTACCAGCAAAAGTGAAAATCAGGCTGGGCGAAGTGGCTCATGCCTGTAATCTGAAGCTGCCTCAGCCTCCCAAAGTGTTGGGATCACCCAAGGTCAGGAGTTGGAGACCAGCCTGACCAACATGGTGAAATCCCGTCTCTACTAAAAATACCAAATTAGCTGGGCATGGTGGTGCACACCTGTATTCCCAGCTACTCGGGAGGCTGAGGCAGGAGAATTGCTTGAACCTGAGAGGCAGACGCTGCAGTGAGCCATGATCACGCTATTGCACTCCCTGGGTGACAGAGCGAGACCCTGTCTTAAAAACAAAAAAAAAAGGTGGAAATCAGTATGTCTACCAATGCTTCCACACCCTTGCCATGGCCTCGTCATGTGTGCAGGGTGCCCCCTTGCCCTTTAACTCTGCACAAGCTCATATGACTTGCTTTAGCCAATGGCATATGGGTGGAGGCACCAGCGTCTGAGTCTAGGCTTTCAGAAGCCTTGCATCTGCCTCTAGTCTGCTTGTGCCCCCACCATCACCATGCGATGCTCTCCCTGGAGCTGACCTTCCCCTCAGCCTGGGCTCCAGAATGAGATGATTGGAGCAGACCTGAGCCAGCCAAACCTGCAGCTTCAAGCAGAGCAGCCCTAGAAAAGTCGGGCTAGGCCAGGTGCAGTGGCTCTTGTCTGTAATCCCAGCACTTTGGGAGGCTGAGGCAGGCGGATCACTTGAGGTCAGGAGTTCAAGACCAGCCTGGCTAAAATATAGTGAAACCCTGCCTCTACTAAAAATACAAAAATTAGCCAGGTGTGGTGGTGCACACCTGTAGTCCGAGCTACTTGGGAGGCTGAGGCAGGAGAATTGCTTGAACTCAGAGGCGGAGGTTGCAGTGAGCTGAGATCATGCCATTGCACTCCAGCCTGGGCAACAGAGTGAGACTCCATCTCAAAAAAAAAAAGAGTCTGGCTAGATCAAGAACATGTGAGAGGTTGCTGAGTCTTTGGTTTTTGTTATGTAGAAATACTTGACAGTTCCAGGAATTGTTTATTAAAATTAAAATGAATATAGTCACATAACTTGATAATTCTAACTCTCCTTATTAGACATGTCTCCAAGGAAACTCATGTAAAGATGTTCATAGCAACATTGTTTAAAAGAGCAAAGAAACCAAGAATAACCCAAATGTCCGGCACTAGGAGAATGGACAAAGAAACCCTGAGTTCTATGGAATACTACTGCAGCTTTTAAAAGGAAGAGGACAAGCTCTTTAAATAAATCTGGATAGATTTCCAAGACATATTGTTGAGTTAAAAAAGCAAGCTGCAGAACAATATGTACAGTAGGATCCCATTTATGTTAAAAGACTCTCATATGCTTGCTCAAAACAATACTACTCATTTACTATACAATACTATGCATATACTATAGTACCACATGTGCACACACACATGCGGGCACACATGCACACACATGTGCACACACATGCGCAGACGTGTGCACACACGTGCACACACATGCATGCACACACACACATGTACATGCACACATGTACACACTCATTTTTAGACAAAGATCTGGATCAACATGAACTGATAATAATGGCTATTTCCAGGGAAGAGATCTAGATTAGAGATGGGTGACCAAAGGGAATTTTAGCTTTGTCTGTAATGCTTTTTTTTTTTAACAAGCAAGAAAAGTCTATCTGTATATTATTTGTACAATTTAAAAATAATTTTCCTGGCTGGGAGCGGTGGCTCACGCCTGTAATCCCAGCACTTTGGGAGGCTAAGTCAAGTGATCACCTGAGGTAAGGAGTTCGAGACCAGCCTGAGCAACATAGAGAAACCCTGTCTCTACTAAAAATACAAAATTAGCCGGGTGTGGTGGTACATGTCTGTAATCCTAGCTACTTTGAAGGCTGAGGCAGGAGAATCGCTTGAACCTGGGAGGCGGAGGTTGCAGTGAACAGAGATAGTGCCATTGCACTCCAGCCTGGGAACAAGAGCGAAACTCCATCTCAATAATAATAAGTTTTCCTTTTTCTTTTTTTCTGAGAGGGGGTCTTGCTCTATCACCCAGGCTAGAGTGCTGTGACGTGATCACAGCTCACTGTAGCCTGAAACCCCTGGGCTCAAGTGATTCTCCTACCTCAGTCTCCCAGAAGCTGGGACTACAGATGCGCACCACCATGCCCAGCTAATTTTTGCTTTTTTGTTTGTTTGTTTGTGGAGATGGGGTCTTGCTGTGTTGCCCAGGTCAGTTTCGAACTCCTGGGCTCAAGTGATCCTTCTACCTCGGTCTCCAATGTGCTGGGATTACAGGTGTGAGCTACTGCACCCAGCTTAAAAATAATTTTCTAAAAGGAAGAAATATATATGAATATATACATCCATGCATACTATGAATATAAACATAAGGCCCTATTTTAAATGTCCTTTGTGGCAGACAGGACCAAATTCAAATCCTGCTACTGCCACCATCTAACTGTGTGTCACTAGACAAGTCATTCTTTCACCTGGAACCTCTCTTTCCTCATATGTAAAATGGGGATACTCATTTACATTTAATAGGGTTGTCATCAAAATCAATGATAATGTTTGTAAAGTTCCAAGACCAGGCTGGGCGCAGTGGCTCATGCCTGCAATGCCAACACTTCGGGAGACCGAGTCAAGTGGATCTCCTGAGGCCAGGAGTTTGAGATCAGCCCGGGCAACATGGTGAAACCTGCTTTCTACTAAAAATACAAAAAGTCACTGGGTGTGGCGGCAGGCAGCTATAACCCCAGCTACTCAAGAGGCTGAGGCAGGAGAATCACTTGAACCCGGGAGGGGGAGGTTGCAGTGGGCCAAGATCACACCACTGCACTCCAGTCTGGGCCACAGAGTGAGACTCTGTCTCAAAAAAAAAAAAAAAAAAAAAAGTCCCAAAAGCAGTGTCTGACAACTAGTGTGTGTTCAATTAAATATGAATTCCCTTCCCTTCCACTTCCAGTTTCTGCCAACCTAACCTTGCTCCTGAGCCATGAGTTACATTGTGGTGACTATTTGGTAGGTGCTTCTTTGGCACTTATATTCCCTAGGATAGGCAGAATAATGGCTCCCCAAAGATGTCGTCATCCCCAGAACACAGCAGAGATGAAGTAAGGCAGCTGGCAGGATTAAGATTGCTAATCTTAATTAGCTGACGTTAAGACAGGGAAAGTACGCTGTGGTACACAGGCATGCCCATTGCAATCAGAGTCCTTCCACGTGGAGGAGGGAGGCCAGAAGGAAAGAATCAGAAAAACACGTGGGACAATGGAAGCAGAGTTAGAAAAATGCTGCCCTGCATTTTCCGGCTTTGAAAACGGAAGGTGCCATCAGCCAAGGCAGCCTTTAGAAGCCGGAAAGGACAATGAAATAGATTTGCCCTGGAGCCTCCAGAAAGAAATGGAGCTCTGCTGCCATCTTGATTTTAGCCCAGTGAGGCTCATGCTGGACTTCTGAACTGCAGAACTGTAAGATAATAAATTTGCACCAGATGGCTAGGCACAGTGGCACATGCCTATAATCCCAGCACTTTGGGAGGCGGAGGTGAGGTCAGGAGTTTGAGATCAGCCTGGCCAACACGGTGAAACCCTGTCTCTACTAAAAATATAAAAATTATCTGGGCATGGTGGTGGGTGCCTGTAATTCCAGCTACTTGGGAGGTTGAGGCAGGAGAATTGCTTGAACCCAGGAGGCGGAGGTTGCGGTGAGCTGAGATTGTGCCATTGCACTCCATCTCAAAAAAACGAAAACTTGCATTGTTTTAAGTCACTGTGGTAATTTGCTATGGGAGTAACGAAAAACGCTGCAACTTGTGTGTGTGTGTGTGCACGTGCGCGCATGTGACAGTGTCTCAATTCTGCCACCCAAGCCGGACAGCAGTGGTGCCATCTCAGCTTGCCTCCCTGACTCAAGCAATCCTCCCACCTCAGCCTCCCAAGTAACTGGGACCACAGATACACACTACCATGCCCAGCTAATTTTTGCATTTTTTGTAGAGACGAGATTTCGCCATGTTGCCCAAGCTGGTCTCAAACTCCTGGGCTCAAGTGATCCGCCCACCTCAGCCTCCCAAAGTGCTGGGATTACAGGGGTGAGCCACCGTGCCCAGCCCAATGCAACTTTTGATTCCTACAAAGCGTCTGTATTTTTGGTTGCAGAACCACCTTTCTCTCCAACTAGCCCACATGTCCTTCCTGTATATCTCTCTTTGGATACACCAGGTCCTCTCCCCTGAGAATCAGACAGAGGACCCAGGCTTGGTTAATAAAAGAATTTACAGTCTCCAGTCATACTGATTGGTTCAGGGGTGGTCATGTCAGCAAAACTGGGCCCAAGCACAGAATGAAGCCAGAGTTGCTAAGGCGGCTGGATGTGAGCCTAATGATGCTGATGGTCGTATTTCCAGCATGAGGGGACAGCCTATGTGAAGGTGAAGCCTATCGGAGGAAATGAAGACTCAGAGATGCAAAGAGGCACATTCCCCACAACATCATTTGCGTGCCCGGATCTAGCCCTGCCTGAAGCTCTAGGCTAGCCATGACTTTTCAGTTACATGAAGCAATACATTCTATGAATCCTGCACAATTTTTTTTTGAGACAGTCTCACTCTGTCGCCCAGGCTGGAGTGCAGTGGCATGATCTTAGTTCACTGCAACCTCTGCCTCCGAGGTTCAAGCCATTCTCCTGCCTCAGCCTCCTGAGTAGCTGGGACTACAGACACACATCACCACTCCTGGTTAATTTTTTGTATTTTTAGGAAAGACGGGGTTTCACCATGTTGGCCAGGCTGGTCTCGAACTCCTGACCTCCAGTGATCTGCTCACCTCAGCCTCCTGAAGTGCTGGGATTACAGGTATGAACCACCATGCCTGGCCATGCATTCCCTTTTTAAAATTCAGCCAATTTGAATTGGGGTCTGTCCTTTGCAAGTGGAATAATCCTTTGAGAATCTGATGACAGCCATACATTTTTTTTTTCCCTTGAGAAAAACACATGCGGACAAACCTTTATATACAATTTCAGGGAAACTTTTGACCCCTGAAGTCAGGCCCCAGGTTATGAAGTCCTGCAGTGTTCCAAGCTGTATTGCCAGCAAGGCATCAAAAAGGAGAGAAGAGAGAGAGTACCTTCAGGGAGTCCAGGATGCTCAGCCCCTCCCTCCGATCCTGAAGAGGAGTTTTGATATAGGTCATAAACCACTGGATCAAGGAATTAAAGGTGGGAGCTCTCTGCGGGAAGCGTAAAAAGGCTCTTTGTGATCACTTCACTCGGCCTCTTTGAGAGCATCTCTCAGCCCTACTTTTGGAATCTACTGAGCAGGGGCTATAAGATTGGGAAGATTTCAGCCTCTTTTGGATCTCCTTCCTGGATTATATTTCTCTTTTCCCTCTTTCCACACTTGGGAGAACTCAAGATTAGAGTGACAGTGAGTCCCCAGTATACATGGCAAAGATATGAAGGAGGTTTTGAATTCTGGCCTTGTTAGCTCTTTTACACACAGGTCTCTCTTTTTCGTTCTTTTTTTTTTTTTTTTTTTTTTTTTTTTTTTTCTTTGAGGTTAAGAGTGGAGGTTTAACAGATGAAAGGAAGAGAAAAGCTCTCTCTCCTGCAGAGAGAGGTTCCCAAGTGGGTCTTCTGGTTCCATCGTGAAATGACCGGGGGTTTTATAGGGGAGTTTGAGGAGGCGGTATCTTATTTACATAGGGGATGACAGATTGGTGGGACCATGTGTGTCATTTGCATAGCTGTGAAGGAGCTGGCTGCCCCACTCTAATCTTTAATTATGCAGATGAAGTCTCTACCTGGCCAGCACCGTGTTGCCTGCTTTTTTTGTCTTTGAGACAGAGTCTCACTCTGTTGCTAGACTGGACTGCAGCGGCTCGAGGTCTCAGCTCAGTGCAGCCTCCAACTCCTGGGTTCAAGCAAATCCCCCGGCTCAGTCTCCCGAGTAGCTGGGATTACAGGCACACACCACCATGCCTGGCTAATTTTTTTTGTATTTTAGTAGAGACAGGGTTTCATAATGTTGGCCAGGATGGTCTCGATTCCTGGCCTCATGATCCGCCCACCTCAGCCTCCCAAAGTGCTGGGATTACAGGCGTGAGCCACTGAGCCTGGCCCCACCCATGTTATTTCTAACCAGAGGTCTCAAGGTGGTCACCCCCTACCCTGTCCCTGGTGGTGGTCTCTTTAGTTCACTGTAGCATGTGGCAGTGGAGGCATGAAGGGTCCACATTCACAGTAGATCGTCAGCTAGGCAGTGGCTCATACCTGTAATCCCAGCACTTTGGGAGGCCGAGGCAGGGGGATTGCTTGAGCCCACGAGTTCAAGGCCAGTCTGGGCAACATAACGAGACCTCATCTCTACAAAACATAACGAGACCTCATCTCTACAAAAAAAAAAAATTTCCTTCCTTCCTTCCTTCCTTCCTTCCTTCCTTCCTTCCTTCCTTCCTCCTTTCTTCAAAACAGAGTCTCACTCTGTGGCCCAGGCTGGAGTGCAGTAGCACGATCTCAGCCCACTGCAACCTCTGACTCCAGGAATCAAGCGATTCTTATGCCTTATCCAGCGTAGCTGGGATCACAGACAAGAGCTACCATGCCTTGCTAATTTTTGTATTTTGAGTAAAGACAGGGTTTTGCCATGCTGGCCAGGTTGGTCTCGAACTCCTAACCTCAAGTGATTTTCCCACCTCCCAAAGTGCTGGGATTACAGGTGTGAACCACTCTACCTGACCTGGAATTATTTACTTTTTAAATGTTTAGCAACATTTAGTGCCAGTGATGCTGTCTGGACCAGAATTTTTTTCTTTGTAGTTAATCTTTTAAAAATTATTCATTTGATTTGTTTCATGGTTTTGGACTAACTGAATGCTATATTTTATCTTGAGTCATTTTTGGTAAGTTATAGCTTTCTAGGAATTTGTCCATTTCAGCTGTATTTTAAAATTTGTTATTGTAAAGTTGTTCTTAACATAAAATTTTACTCCACTCTCTGGAGCCCATGTGGTAATGTCTCCTTTAAAAAATTCCTGATATTGGCTATTTGTGCTTTTTCTTTTTCTTTTTAATCAACATCACTGGAGGTTTGACTATCTTACTAGGCTTTTCAAGTAACCAACTTTGGTGTAGTTTATTATCCAACTCTATGTTTGTTTTCTATATATTTTTTTGTTATTATCTTTTCCATTTCCTTTTTTTGGATTTATTTTGTTATTCTTTTACTAACTGGATGGATGTATTTAGTGCCATGAATTTTCCTTGAATTTCTGCTTTATGTATTCACATTTAAAAATATATAGTATTTTTTTAACCATACAGTTAAAACTGTTTTACAGTTTCCATTAGGATTTCTTCATTGACCCAGGAATTAGGAGATTTTTTTTTTTAGATGAGGTCTCACTCTATCACCCAGGTTGGAGTGCAGTGGTGCAATCACTGCTCAATGCAACCTCCGCCTCCCTGGGCTCAAGTGATCCTCCCACCTCAACCTGAGTAGGTGGGACTACAGGTGTGTGCCACCATGCCTGGCTAATTTTGAACTTTTTGTAGAGACAAGTTCTCCCCATGTTGCCCAGGTTGATTTCAAGTTCCTGAGCTCAAGTGATCCTCCCACCGCAGCCTTCCAAAGTGCTGGGATTACAGGTATGACCACACCCAGGACTTGCGAATTTTATAAGTTATTATTTTTTATTTTAATTTTTTAAAATTGAGACAGAGTCTTGCCCTGTCATCCAGGCTGGAGTGCAATGGTGATCTCAGCTCACTGCAACCTCCGCCTCCCGGGCTTAAGCAATTCTCTTGCCTCAGCCTCCGGGGTAACTGGGATTACAGGCACCCGCCACTATGCCTGGCTGATTTTTTGTATTTTCAGTAGAGACAGGTTTCACCATGTCGGCCAGGCTGGTCTCAAACTCTTGACCTCAAGTGATCCACCTGCCTTGGCCTCCCAAAGTGCTGGGATTACAGGTGTGAGCCACCACAGCCAGCCTAAAGTTATCTTTTTATTAACTTATAACAATCTTTCTCTGCTAATGACCATATGTATTCTGTATGATTTCAAACATTTGAAATGTGTAACTACGTGTATACCTCATTTTATTGCTCCTTGCTTTATTGCACTTTGCAGATTTTTTTTTTTTTTTTTTTTAAACAAATTGAAGGTCTGTTGTGGTAATCCCATGTTGAGCCGGTCTATCAGCACCATTTTAACAACAGCATGTGCTCCCTTAATGTCTCTTTAAATTTTGGTAATTCTCCAATATTTCGGGCTCTTTATTATCATTCTGTCTGTTATGGTGATGCATGATCAGTGATCTTTGATGTTGCTATCGTAATTGTTTAGGGATGCCATGAACCACATCCATATGGGATGGCAAACTTAATCTATAAACATTGTGTGTGTTGTGACTTTTCTACCAACTGGCCTTTCCCCTGTCTTTCTCCCTCTCCTGGGGCCTCCTCATTCTCTGAGACACAAGAGTATTAACATTAGGCCAATTTCAGCTGGGCACGGTGGCTCATGCCTGTAATCCCAGCACATTGGGAGGCCAAGGCGAGCAGATCATGAGGTCAGGAGATCAAGCCCATCCTGGCCAATAGGGTGAAACCCCGTATCTATGAAGAATACAAAAATTATCCGGGTGTGGTGGTGCGCGCCTGTAATCCCAGTTACTCAGGAGGCTGAGGCACAAGGATCGCTTGAACCTGGGAGGCCGAGGTTGCAGTGAGCCGAGATTGCACTGCTGCCCTTCAGCCTGGGCAACAGAGTCTCGGAAAAAAAATATGGCCAATTGACAACTATACAGTGGCCTCTAAGCGTTTAAGTGAAAGGAAGAGTCACATGCATTTCACTTTAAATCAAAAGCTAAAAATGATTAAGTTCAGTGAGGAAGGCACGTTAGAAGCTCTGCTAGGCCAAAGAAAAGGCCTCTTGCACCGATTAGCCAAGTTGTAAATGCAAAGGTAAAGTTCTTGAAGGAAATGAAAAGTGCTACTCCAGTGAATGCAGGAATAGTAAGAAAGCAAAACAGCCTTATTGCTGATATGAAGAAAGCTTTCGTGGTCTGGATGGAAGATCAAACTAGCCAGTTTTCACCTAAGTCAAAGCCTAATTCAGAGTAAGGCCTTAACGCTCTTCAATTATATGAAGGCTGAGAGGTAAGGAAGCTGCAGAACAAACGTTGGAAGCTAGCAAAGGTTGGTTCATGAGGTTTAAGGAAAGAAGCTATCTCTATAATATAGAAGCGCAAGGTGAGGCCAGGCGCAGTGGCTCACGTCTGTAATCCCAGCACTTTGGGAGGCCAAGGTGGGCGGATCACAAAGTAAGGAGTTCAAGACCAGCCTCGCCAACATGGTGAAACACCACCTCTACTAAAAATATAAAAATTAGCTGGGTGTGGTGGCTCGCACCTGTAATCCCAGCTACTCGACAGGCTGTGGCAGGATAATTGCTTGAACCTGGGTGGTGGAGACTGCAGTGAGCCAAGGTCTCGCCACTGTACTCTACCCTGGGTGACAGAGTGAGACTCCATCTAGGGGGTGGGGTGAAGAAGTGCAAGATGAAGCAGCAAGTGCTGATGAAGAAGCTGCAGCAAGTTATCCAGAAGGCTTCGCTGAGATAACTGATGAAAAGCAGCTATACTAAACAACAGATTTTCAATGTGATAAAACAGCCTTCTACGAAAAGAACATGCCATCTAGGGCTTTTATAGCTAGAGAGGAAAATTCAATATTTGGCTTCAAAGTTTCAAAGGACAGGCTGACTCTCTTGTAAGGGGCTCATGCAACTGGTGACTTTAATTGAAGCCAGTGCTCATTTGCCATTCTAAAAATTCTAGGGCCCTTAAGAATTTTGCAAAATCTACTAGGCCTGTGCTCAAGAAATAGAACAACAAAGCCCGAATAACAGCACATCTGTTTACTTCATGGTTTACTGAATATTTTAAGCCCATTGTTGAGATCTACTGCTCAGAAAAAAAATATTTTTCAAAATATTACTTCTCATTAACAATATACCTGGTCACCCAAGTGCTCTGGTGGAGAGGTACAAGATTAGCATCGTTTTCATGCCCACTAACACAACATCCATTTTGCAGCCCATGGCTCAAGAAGTAATTTTAATTTTCAGGTCTTGTTATTTCAGAAATACATTTCATAAGGGCACAGCTGCCATAATGATTCCTCTGATGGATCTGGGCAAAGTCCACTGACAACCTTTTGGAAAGGATTCACCATTCTTAGATGCCATTAAGAACATCTGTGATTCATGGGAGGAGGTCCAAAATCAACATTAATAAGAGTTTGGAAGAAGCTGATTCCAGCACTCACGATGACTTTGAGAGAAGTTCAAGACCTTAGGGGAAGAAGTCATATCAGATGTGGTGGAAATAGCAAGGGACCTCGAATTTGAAGTAGAGCCTGAAGATCCTACTTCTGAATTGACTGAATTGTGGCAATCTCCTAATAAAATTTGAACACATGAGGAGTTGCTCCTTACGGACAAGGAAAGCAAGCGGTTTCGTTTTCTTTCTCTCCCTTTCCTTCCTTCCTCCCTCCCTCTCTCTCCCTCCCTTCTCTCTCTCTCCCTCCCTTCTCTCTCTCTCCCTCCCTTCTCTCTCTCTCCCTCCCTTCTCTCTCTCTCTCTTTCTTTTGATGAAGTCTCACTCTGTCACCCAGGCTAGATGGCATGACCTCAATTCACTGCAACCTCCACCTCCCGGGTTCAAACGGTGTCATTTTCTCTCCCTCCCTCCCTCCCTCCCTCCCTCCCTCCCTCTCTCTCTTTCTTTCTTAGATGAAGTCTCATTCTGTCACCCAAACTGGAGTGCAGTGACACAACTTCCACGGCTCACTGCAATCTCTGCCTCTGCGGTTCAAGCAATTCTCCTGCCTCAGCCTCCCAAGTAGCCAGGATTACAGGTGCATGCCACCACGCCCGGCTAATTTTTGTATTTTTAGTATAGATGGCATTCCACCATGTTGGCGAGGCTGGTCTTGAACTTCCGGCCTCAAGTGATCCTCCCACCTTGGCTCTCCAAAGTGGTGAGATTACAGGCGTAAGCCACTGCGCCCGGCCGTCTCTCTGGTCTTTCTTAAACCCCTTGGACTCTCTCCTGGCCCCTGAGGTCCTTGTCTCCGTCCCCTCTCCAGTTCGTTCCTATCTGATTCACTGTCTTCTCTCGCTGGTCCTCTCCCCTTTGCCTCAGACTCTATCCTCTTCGTGGCTGTTGATCTCACTTCTGCACTGTCCTCGCTGCTGTCTTCTCCCTGTCGCGTCTCTGTCCCCATCTCCCGCCTCAGCGTCTGTGCCGTCGGGCGCTCCGCCTGTGACCGTGGGTTCTTTTCCTGTCCTCTCGGTCTCTGTCACAGCCCCTCTTGTCGCTCCTGGTCAGAGGCCCTGTCTCCGTCGCCTCAGGGTCCTTCCCCGTCTCCTTCTCTTCCTGTCACCCCGGCTCCTTCCCAGCGTCTTTCCTTCCGTCTGCGAATCGTCCTCTGCCCCTCTGGGTCTGCGCCTGTGGGGGGCTCTGCCCCTCGGAACTGTTTTCTCCTCTCAGTCTCCGGATGTTTTCTAGGGGGTCACATCCTCTTCTACGTCTGTCCTGGGGCAGAGTGGACACGTCGAGGTCCATCGGTCAGTCTGACCCTCTTCTTAGAGCCTCTGGCCTCTCACGTCGCCTCGCCTCACCCCATTTCCCGTCCTTTATCTCTCCCTTTAAAATGACAGCCGGAAGCATCAGCGCATGCGCACCAAGCACCACTCGGGAACAGCTGCGCGCGCCCGGCCTGCAGGCTCGCGGGAGAACTCACGCGCAAGCTCACACGCTCCGGTGGTCGGGTCGGAAACTAGTGACGTCACGAAGCCTTATTGGCTCCCTTCGACCAGCGCGCGCTTGCTGGAGTAGACGGCCACGCCTTTCCCAGCGCCACGTTGCGCTCAGCGCTAGAGCTCACCGACCCTGGGAACCCCGTGGAGACTCGTGTCGTCATGGCAACCATGCCCTACCTAATTGGATACCTGCGCCACTTCGTTGAACCCAGTACTCTGGATGCCTGGCGGGTCAAGGATTGTATATAACTGGATGCCAGGGAATTTGCATCTTTCTTACCTTTCGCATTTCTCTGTCTCACCTGGATTTCTTCCCCAAGCACTGGGGACGTGGAGACGGAAAGTGACTTGAATCGCCGCGGGGGAGTGAGGGGTGTTGGACCTGGCACCGGAACCCTGCTGGAGTCAGCTGACCCAACAGGCTGCTCTCTCTCAGATACAGGTCCCTTTCCTCCCGCCAGGGGGCGCCAAAGAACGCAGGGCCCTACCTGGCCTTGAGGACTGGTGACGTCAGGAGTAAGCCTCTCGTGATTGGCTACATCAGTTAATTTGCAGTCAAAGGAAACAAAGGAGAAGTCCCACACCGGGAGCCGCGGTAGCTTTGGCCGGTTGTCTTGGCACTTGAGGAGGCATGGGTATACGTTCTAAGGCTAACCTGGGCAAAATAAGAACCTCTCATTAATTAACAAAAAAAATTTTTTTTCCTTAATACGTAAATGTTAAGGAAAAATTGTTGCCTTAACAATTTGCTTAACGACTTGCTAAATTGTTGCCCAGGCTGGAATGCAGTGACTATTCATGATTGTATTAATTGTGTACTACAGCCTGGAATTCCTGGTCTCAAGGGGTCCTCCTGCCTCAGCCTTCTAGGTAGCTGGGACTACAGGCGCAGGCAACTGTGCCAGGCCAATACTTTTCAAGACCAAAAGAAGAAAAAAAAAATCCAGCAATTTTAGTTGCTTTTAGTGGGAACGTTGGTCTGAATAACCTCGTCTGCCATTATCAGCAACCTCAACTACTCTGTCCTCTCAGCGTTGCTTAATTTCTCTTCTTAGCACTTAACACTACTTGACATTCTATATTTATTTGTCCACCAACTAGGTTGAAATCTGCGTGGGTGTATGAATTTTGTTTTCTGCTGTCGCCTCCCCGGAACCCAGAATGATGCCTGGTACAGAGTGAATACTCAATAGTTTAATAAATGAATTAAAAAAGAGTGATTTTGCATACGGCTTTGTGCCATGGCTACCGTGGGCCAATGAAAGAGGACTGGAGGATTCAGAAACTTGGTCACAAATCTAGAATCGGTGTTGAGATCTTTCAAATCACAATTCCAAATCAAGGTCATAACTTAACCAAACTGAAAGAAAAAAAAACTCAAACATTCTAGGTTTCATTACTTCCTAGGTTTAGGTACTGGGATGAGTGGCAGGTCTCAGCTACCCACGGGTTTGTGGGTCCCTCTCACTCTCTCTGGGTCTTTACTCACTTTCCTATCTTTGCTTTTGCCTGTTGTCCTCACCCCTTATGAAGTCTCAGATAGCTGACCCTCTCATTTCCTTTCTCTTTGCCCTTTCTATTCATCTCTGTAACTCAGTCCCTGTTTCTGTGTCCTTATCTTTCTCTGGCGGGTCTCGGTCATGTACACCCCATCACTCTCCTCTCCTGTAAGATACAGTTCTGTTTCTAACTCTGCCCACGCCCCTAATCTCTCACTGCCAGACGGCTGGCAAGGCACCTTCCATCTACCCCCCATCTTGCCTCAATGCCTTTTCTCTTTCCATCACTCCCTTTTTATATTACCATCCCTTCTGTCTGACATCACACTTTCTGCCTCTATAACTTCACCTCTCTGTGTGTCATTGAATGGGCTCTGTTACGCTCACCCTAGTAGCATCACCACGACTGCCCTCCGCTCAGAGCCTGTGCATTCTGTTGCTGTTCCCTCTGGCTCTGTCTCCTCCCACTCTGAATCCTCTCTCTCTGTCCCTTGCTCGGCTTCTGTCTCCTGTATTTCTATCATGGTCTCTTTCTCTGCCTTCTACCTTCTAACTGTCTCTGTCCTCTCGACTTCTGTTCCACTTCTCTCTTTGCCCTTTTCTTTTATTTAAGCCAGTCTCATTCTGTTGTCCAGACGAGACTGGAGTCCAGTAGCATGAACACCACTCCCTGCAGCCTCTAACTCTCAGGCTCTAGCAATCCTCCCATCTCAGCTTCCTGGGTAGCTAAGAAAACAGATGTGTGCCGCCACCACCATGCCTGGCTAATTAAAAAAAAATTTTTTTTTGTAGGATCAGGGACTCCCTTTGTTTCCCAGGTTGGAGGGTAGTGACATCATCATAGCTCACTGCAGCGTTGACCTCCCTGGCTCAGGTGATCCTACTGCCTCAGCCTCTCGAATAGCTGAGACCACAGGTGCACACTACCATGCCCGGCTAATTTATATACATATATATATATTTTTTGTAGAGACAGGGTTTTGCCATGTTGGCCAGGCTGGTCTCAAACTCCTGACCTGAAGTGATCTTCCCACCTCCATTTCCCAAAGTGCTGGGATTACAGGCGTGAGCCACTGTGTCTGGCCTGTCTTTGCTATTTTCCATCATCTCCCTGTCCCCTCTGTGTACTCCTAATCTAGTATTGTTTCCTGAGTCTCTGATATTGACACCATTCCCTCTGCCCCCGCACCTGTTTGCTCTCTTTGCCTCACTTGCTATTGCCTCTAACTTTGTCTCTGACCCCGTCTCTTATTTTTGCCACTTTTCCCTGAATCACTTCTGTTATCTGCCTCTGGTTCTCTCTCTTCTCTCTTAGCTTCTCTGTGTCTGCCACATCCCCTTATCTCTTTCTCCGCTGTCACTGTCTCTCGGTCTCTGTCCATTTTGTCACAGCCCTCCCTGTTTCTGTCACCATCCGTCATCTTGGTCTCTCTCTTTTCCTTCCTCTCTTCTCTCTTCTCCTTCCTCTTCTCTCTCTCTCCCTCTCTCCGTCTCTCCCTCTCTTACTTCTTTCTGATGGAGTCTCACCCTTTTACCCAGGCTGGAGACCTGTGGTGTAATCTTGGCTCACTGCAACCTTTGCCTCCTGGGTTCGCTCACTACAGCCTTCGCCTCCCAGGTTCAAGGGATTGTCCTGCCTCAGCCTCTAGAGTAGCTAGAGGACTACAGGCGCGTGCCACCACGCCCGGCTAATTTTTGTATTTTTAGTATAGATGGCATTCCACCATGTTGTCGAGGCTGGTCTTGAACGTCTGGCCTCAAGTGATCCTCCCACCTTGGCTCTCCAAAGTGGTGAGATTACAGGCGTAAGCCACTGCGCCCGGCCGTCTCTCTGGTCTTTCTTAAACC